CGCCTCCGCTGCCAGCCAACCCCGGCCCCGCACCCCGCTGGGGCCCACGCCCGCACTACCCCGGGCTCACGAGGGTGGGGTGTAGCCCCGGGGGGGGCCCGAGGTCGGGCCAAAACTGCAATATTGCAGTTTGGCCCAGGGGTTGCAGGCTGCGGCTGCACACCCCCTTGTATTTTTTATTTTTATTTTTTGATTTATTTTTTGATTTTTTTTTGTTTTTGTTTTTTTTCCTTTTTTTGTCGGGGCCAGGGGTGCCGACCCCCGGCCCCCGGGACCCCCGCCGGGGCCCCGGGCCAGGGCTCGACAACCCTGGTGCTAAGAGGGGATGCAACCCGGGTGGGGCAAGTAATAACAGATAGACCGGGGGAGGTGCAAGTAAATTTGTTCTATCGAACACAGCAGAACCACTTAATCAGGGGCGTGCCGGATGAGGTCTTCTGGATTGATGTTAGAATACTCCACAGAGTAAGAGTCTTAAAGGTAAATGAAACCTGGGTGGCTTTCCGGCCAGAGGTACCAATCCAGGATCTCCCCTTAGATGTAGCGGAATGAAGATGGAAGATTCCGACAAGAAACAGAAGACCCAGATACCGGTACCTCCATACACTCGAAGTCAAAGCGACCTATCAGATGCTCGGGACTAAAATAGAATTGAGGGATCGCATCATCGATCGCTGGGCACGACACCTCAATGTACCTGTGGAATCCTTGAAACCCATTAAATGGTTTAGAGAGGTGAAGAGTAAACCAGCCAAGTTTGCTTCGCTGCAATGGCAGATTAACCATCGCTGCCTTCCAACGAATGCATGGCTCATAGACCATACCCACTTGGAGTTGAAAGGTATGGCTCTCCCCTGGTGCCATGCATGCAAGGAGGGTTTCCCCTCCCGAAAGATTAACGAAACGATAAAGCACCTCTTCCTCTAGTGCCCTGCCTCCATTCTTACATGGCGGGGATGGGTCCGGATCTGGAACCAATTAGACACAGACAGAGATTGGCCATGGGAATGAAGGGCCCTGCTAACCGGTCACTGGACTGCCCAATCCTCAAACTTCACAACAAACTTATTTAGGATAGGGAGGGCAGCGGTGCTATGGGCCATATGGCGTCGCATATATATTCTAGTTCTTGAAAATGCACACGTGGGAAGTGGCGAAACATCATAAATGATTAAAGACATGATCGAAACAGCAATTAGAGCTCGCTGGGAAAAGACGGTACAAGAGATGAGAGCTCTCACAAAAAGAGCAGATAGCGGGACAGATTGCATGGATACAATGGGATGGCTCACTTTTGGATGACAATGATCGCCTAGATAAATCGCAGAAGAATTATCGTCTGCTCTTCCATAAATTGACTGAAATCCCCAGCAATATCCCGCTCCCCCCGGTTTCTGAGTTCCCTGATTTTTTCCCCCCATCAAACAATACCTTAGTCGAGTTGAGCTGGTATGACCGAGATACTGTGGAGCCCGTCCAGCACAACCATGGTGAGACCGGTCAGGAGGGAGGTAGGGAATAGGAGGATTAGGTCTCTGCTCCAGTCCCCCCTGAACACAGAACCTACCTCCCTATCCCCCCCTCACACCTGGTCAATCCACCCATGATTCGGCTGGAATGACAGGCCCCCGTATCAACAGTACTTGTTGAAAAAAAAAAAAAAAGAGGTTGAGGGACCAGTATGTAGATGGTATATTCGGCGCCAGATTCAAGGTGAAGAGGCCCCCTGCTCCAACATCCTGCTCAGTCAATCCCCTGGACCCCAGGGTAATCAATGCTGGCAGGACCACATAATTGTGTACTAAAAGATACTCCAAGATCAATCTGTATAAGGGACGCTGGACCCGTTTTCCAGCAGGTGATGCTCCCCACCAGTAGATCAAGCCTTTCCCCAGGTGCTAGTGGTGTCTGCTCTTATCAACATCACTAGCAAGGGTGGTTTTTTTTTTTCAAAAAAAAAATAAAAATAAATTGTATCGTTGGTCTGACTCTGACTCAACATTGTCTTTTTGTTGCATGAGTTACCCAACCTTTAGATCAATGGTCTTGAAAATGAAGTCGGATCAAGATGTGATGATTGTGCTCGTCAAACAAGTAGGTGAATGTTCCTCATCTTATCCTCGTTCATCCTATCCTCGTTCTATTGAAAAACTACTTCACGAGTATAAGGACTTGCAGACTGAGCCAACGAGAATCACTGAGTGTGCAATTGAGATGATTTTTGGTAGTAAGATTCCCAAGGGTCCCATCTATCGTATTTCTCATAAGAAACTTGAGAAACTAAAGAAACAACTGTAAGAACTAACTGAAAAAGGATGGATTCGCACCAGCTCATTTCCTTATGGTGCTCCTATGTTATTCGTGTCCAAAAAGGAAGGTTAACTTAGACTACGTATTGATTATCGTGGGTTGAATGTCGTCACCGTAAAAAACGCGAAACCACTTCCGCACATTGACGACTTGTTGGACCAATTGCAGGGATGCATGTACTTTAGTAAGATTGATATTAAGTCAGGGTACCACCAGATCGAGGTGGCTCCTAAGGATCAACACACGACAACCTTCTGAGCCAGGTATGGTCAATACGAGTTTGTGGTTACGCCTTTCTCCTGCCACCTATCAAAGGTCTATGAATGAACACTTTCGTCAATGACTGGATCAATTCGCAGTTGTCTATCTCAGTGATATCCTCGTGTATAGCAAGACACTTGAGGATCACGAGAAGCACCCAGGCCGACAAGCACTCAGACAGGCATGCAGACCATCATGCATGCACACACACAGACTTAGAAATCACAGCAGAACGCGGGAATCTCAGCAGTCTTCTCAGTCTGTGTTTAGGTGGGTCATTACATATTCATGCTTGTACCAGTCAGTCAGATTCGATTTCATTGGATGGCTCCGAATTAAAAAAAACAGAGAAAATGGCCTCATTCCTCCCCTCTTTTAACAGTATGCACAGTGTGTCTTTTTCACACAGCTAGGAACAGCCATCGGTATTTTTATAATTAGAGGGGTGTGGGAAGTGGGCTTTTTTTCTTTGCTGATATGAGGTGTCTGGGACATTGACAAGCATGGGGAGGAGGGCAAATCTTGCTTCTGTGGACCTCTCCAGCGTCTCCACTGTGCAAGTTTTGATAAAAAAGTTAGTTTCTGCAGTACAGGGTCTATGGTATATTGTGGTGAATGCATGGGCATGCAAATGTATCCCTGGGGATTTGAACTCGTGATACCTTGATTTAACTGCCAATGGTTCCAGCCACCTTTCCCATCACGGAATTGTTACTGGGCCTGAGAAATCCGAAGTGTGGAGATGCACGGTTTGCCTCTTCCCGACGGACACTCCGAGCCTTTTGGCGGCCCGTGGCAGGCATTTTTCAAAGGCTGCAATGACCACTGGCACTTTGAATTTTGAAATGCATAATAATCTGTTTACAAGTAGTTACATGTGTACCGTTCAGCCACATGGGCGGGCTAGGCTTAGGAGGGTTCTAACATCACAGTTCTGTTTTTTACACCGTCTTGTCCCCATCTGTCTGTCCCTGTTGTTGGCTTTTGCAGCGGCTTGGAAGGATTCAAGATCTATTATGGCAATCTGACAGACATAATGTCCCTGGAAATTTCGGCCCTTCATGGACATGTGTTTTTCGACAAAGAGCAGTTTGAGCTTTGGGAAGGGGTCAGTGTGCTGAATTTAAGCAACAGTGGCCGAGACTACCAATCCCCAATTAAGAGTCTGCAAATGGAGCAGGAAAACAGAACACTTGTCTTTCGGGGGAATATTCTTGCTGTCGGCAGCGCATTGGGGGCAATCCGCTACATAAGGTTCTTCACTTCTCATGCCCGGCTCCATTGATAGCATCAACTACCCACCCAAAGTAAGGACCCAAACCTTTCTTATTTTTGAACCACCAGTACCTTTACCGGCTTGAAACACAAATACGAGCCGGAGAACACGACCAAGTTTTGATGGTTCGGGTAGCAGCAGTGTCACTCTCCCACTGTGGCAGATGTAGATCCCACACGGGCCCAGCAGGACCCGTCAGGTAGGTAGGAAGGGGCAGGGACTTAGCTTCGGTCTGGCGCATTAGTTTTGTGCACCAGAAGTAGGGCTGTGTCGGTTCAGGCCAGAAAAAGGGCCGTTTTAGGCCCACACCAGGTTCAGCCTGGCCAGGCCCTGGTACCAGTAACGGTTCAGGCCCTGGCCTCCTTTTTTTTTCCCAGGCCACACTTCGACCGTCGGATTCGATCCAAGTGTATGACCTGATTGATTTCCAGGCCTTTGGTTCTGGGCCTCACGTTTAGGCCACTATGACTTAGGAGACGCCAGACCAGTAGTATTTATAGACTGGTCTGCCTCTCACTCGGTAGGTTAGTGCGAGCTACTATTCAGTGTCATGCTGCGTTAGTCTTCAGCACTGGGCGCGGTAGGCCAGAGGTGGTGAGCATGGAGGCTGCAGTGGAGACTGCAGCGGTAGAGATGCGGAGGCCAGACACTGGACTTACCTGATGACTCACCTAGGGGCGCCATAGGTCCAGCTTCGTCTTCAGCGCTCCAGTACTGGCTTCAAGGCAACACCTCTGCGTGGTCAGTATCTGGTATCAGCACAGAGAGCGAGCGAGCGAGAGAGAGAGAGAGAGAGAGAGAGAGAGAGAGAGAGAGAGAGAGAGAGAGAGAGAGAGAGAGAGAGAGAGAGAGAGA